ATACAACTGTCACATCTGTCTGCAGTATTGATATGCAAGATAAATGATATTGCAGCTAATTATGTACTCTCAGTTACTCAGAAATATAAATGATTCAAATAGATTCGAACGTAATGTCAGACTGGTTCACACTAAACACAATCAATTAATACATTCATTTACTTATTCATTCTTTCCCTCGATCGATCGTCGATCGCTCACTCACTCACTCACTCACTCACTCACTCACTCACTCACTCACTCACTCACTCACTCACTCACTCACTCACTCACTCACTCACTCACTCACTCACTCACTCACTCACTCACTCACTCACTCACTCACTCACTCACTCACTCACTCACTCACTCACTCACTCTGCCATCTAACGATTATGCATGTTTGATCGACGTTCTTTATGATATGCGTGGGATTCCTGTCAGGAACAGATTCTGCAAATAAATCATGAAATTCTGTCAGTGTCATTGTAAATTCCATTTACATGAGGGCTTACTTTTACAAATGTATTAGGGAATTTCTGCTTCGTATGTTTATTCGTGCTGTGTTTGACACAAAAAGCACAATTATGACGGAGCTGTCGTGATAGATGACTTTGCCCTCGATGGAAAGAGTCCATCTCCTTGTGTTAATGTGGAGAGAAACTGTGGATGAGACAAGTAACGTGACGATATAATGTTTTATTGATTCATTGATCCCCCCCAAACAAAAATAAAACATTACCATACATAGCCTCGAATAGCACAGTGACAGCAAAAACCAAAACAATTAAGACATTATTTCTTCGGTATGAGATTATACATTTCTTTTAGGCTTACTTAAAAATATCATCGACAGTTTGGTTTGAATTAATGATTCTTCAATTATAAAATCTATTTTAGGCTAATGAATAGTCTACTAAGATATGAAACAAAAACAGATTTATTTAAATTGTCGTGTGTACTATTATGTTCACTCACAACGCTCTCGTTATAACAATTATGTAAACCGAAATATAGATTTCGTTCGATATTCAGACATAGCTATACTCAAATTGGATATTGACATGCGATTTTTCCCCCGAAAAAGTATTCACTATAACAATGCTGGCAAACCTGTTATCAAGTTTTTGTGTTATTTGAAATTTTCCACAGGGCTACTATTTCAGAACATGAATATTGAATATATTTAATTATGTCAATACTTTAAATAGATGAGAAAGTAGTGAGATTTACAAAACCAGGATTCACCGATCATTAAATATCAAAGTATAAAATGCAATAGTTACATTTAGAGCGTTCTGTAACGATTATAGATCGAGTATTTAGTATTTCGAAATGATTGCATAGCTTTCGAATCGACATTTCCCAATATGTATGTTACATGATATTCCAACGTACCATTGAAATGTTATGAAATAGAAAATTTAAGCTAAACTTAAAGTTACGAATATATTTTAAAAGTTAGTACTAACACTATAACGATTTCGACTAATGTCTTACCCAAAAATCGTTCGATCGTGGCTATAAATGATCTATAGTGAGAGGCGTGACTGAAAGCGCGTTCAGTGATTATATATCATGTTGATGTTGATTTACAATATTCAATATTCGTTAGTATCTTATTCCAATGTATATGCTTCGTAAAATAATGTCACAGTAACAAATTGACATTCAATGAATTCCCTCGAAACTGAAAAGAGAAGAAAACAGTAATACGCACAATAATGCACATGTGTACTATCCTCTTAAAATAGAAACATATTATTTGTGGATTGCCTGTGACTGGACATCGACTGGTCGTCTTACGTAACTCCTGTTGACAAATTGTTGCGAATTAGGACAAAGTGGTGACTATATCTCTGAAGACGATTATTGATACTAAAAATAACATAGGGAATTATGATAAACAATAATGACAGTTATGTTAATGAGAGCGAAGATTAAATATGATATATAGGTGATGAACAATATACAAACCTAAAATACATATCAAACACATACTCAATATGATGACGTGATCAGAATTTGTTACAGTTCCTAGGAATATCACCAAGGAACACAATTTCGACATATTGAAGGCGGTTTGTAGGTTTAGGAAACTGTATGGTTTAGGTTTGGATTGAGGGTTGCACAGACACACAGACACGGCAATATATCCAAAAACAATGACACTTGCAACTATATTTTTCTCATCTCATAAATAAATGATCTTTACAGGATACACACATTCCTATGAATTGATTTTTTTTCAATAATTGTTAAAAAATATAAATTAATAAAAATAATAATAGTTTAATGAACGTTCCAAAGTTAAACACTTTTATATCGAACAATGATCACTCTGTTTGTAAAAAAATAACACATCACCCTTTTAAAGTCTTTCCATTGCAAAATAAAACCATACGGAGTCACACAGTCATATAAGTTTTGTGAATTTGAGTCAATAAAACACGAATATTTTATAAATCTTTCAATTGTAGGTGACATACCAAATCTAGAATGATACATAAATCGGACAAAAAACTCAGAAGGCTGCAATTTTTCATTAAAATGGCATGATGACGTAATCAAAAGCGATTGTGATCGTGGATATTTTACATTAGGGGAAATTATCTATATATCCATTAAGCTCTTTCAGAAAACTAATTAAAATACTAATGATACAGAAGTTCAACAATCCTAATAATATAAAAAGACATTAGGTGTTTTAACTGTATCCATTTATTAATGGAACGGAGTGTAACAGGTCACTTGGTGTAACTATAATCGTGTTGCCATGTCTTATATAATATTATGACGTCACATGTCACACCGTGGTGTAGAATAGTGTACAACAATTATCAAGTGACCGCCTCCCAAAACCGGGGTCAAACAACTCCAGTTGTTACTGAGTACATAGTTAGTGATTAAACCAACAACAACGCCAAACAAAATGACTGCATTGTGTTCGCGTAATTTAACTAGGATAAATCATTGTTCAGTCAGAATTGGTTATTGGTTACAGCGGCGTCAATATGCATAGTCACAAATGTCTACTTGTGGGTGACAAGTATGTAAAAAGAAAATGAAACGATCCTTCAACTGCTCAAAGACAGCTCAGCATATTTGAAGTGTTAGTATATGTAATAACGAATCTGATTGGGCCACAACTTTGCTATGGCGTCCAATCAGATACGACCATAAACAAGCACGCTCATGAATAGTTTCATCGCACTTGAGAGAGAGAGAGGGATGGACAGATACGAAATCGTGCAATCGGACGTTAATCAAAGTATATGTTCTACGTCTCATGACGCGAATTTTGCAAAACACTAATAACCATTATGCGGGGGCAAAGAGCATCTGCTATGCAATTACACGTGATACCCGGGAGGTGTAACCGAATGACTATATCCTGATTGACGTATTATCCACCACTGATCAAAATGTCTCTTATCTGATGGAATTTTCTAGAGAAAATTGCAATTATTTGACTAAACAGAATAGGCGGTCACATTGCCCTACATCTCAAGTCTGTTTTTCTCTGAGTTTCAAACTATGATACTGCGGTTTGCAGATTGAACCATTTCCACAAATAGAATCGCACAGTCAACATCAATGCTATTTCCGCTGGACCAAAAAGAAACAATTGACCCTTTTTACCATGGTTATCGGATTTGTAATCGTGCTGTCAAAACAGACAAAGCAACAAAACACTGAGATTGTGTTGTCGTAGTATAACGCATCAACCTTTTTGTATTTGTAGTTAACAACGGTGTGAAGGATCACTGGTGTAGGCGTATATCGTGGTTCATATGTTCATCGACATATTGTTTCTTGTAAATGTTGATTAGGAACAGATATATAACTAAAGTGTGCAGTTTTTATGGTTAAAAGCATATGTGCACAAAATTGGTTTATATATTGCGCAGTTGCACAGTCGGGGTAGATATGATATATAAAAAATATTACATATAATGTATTTCCTTCTGATTAGTAGGTGATTTAACTGTTGTTTGGACATATGTCTTTAGAT